TTTCAATGGCAACATAAAACTTACAGACAAAATTCATGATTAAAGAGTTTATTAAGAGAGTTAAGTTGTGATGCCAGTGAGATGCTGAGGGTAGTTGTTTACCAGGGCATGTTACAAAGTTTCAGGTCTGCTAATAAACACCCAAAGGGGCTTATCCCTCTGCTATAAGCCTCAACCCTAAGACACTCAGCTCAAGTTACATGGGTCAGCAAAGCCAGCTTTCTGAATTATGGTAAGTGTCCAGTAGGCCTCGCTGCACTTACCCCACTGCAGTAAGCCTCAGCCTAAAGGCACTGAGCTCTGCTTTCATGGGTCAGCAAGTCCAACTTCCCCAATGAAGTGCCCGGAGCACCCTACTCTGCTCAAAACCCTTCTCTTAACTTGCTCTGTGTGTTGAGAAGTCAATCACTGTGTTCCATGCTCCCGGTTCTCCTGCTGCTGCTGCTGCTGCTGCTGCTGCTCTGATGACACAGCTGGTATCTGGATTTAGTAGGTTCACTGTGCAGGGATCACAGGTCCAGAAGACATGCTCTCCTCCTGACTCTGACTGAAAATGAGATCCCTCTTGCTTCTCAGAGATCATTGTATACACATTAGGATGGCACTCCAAGGAATCCTATTCTCAATTACTCACAAGTTAATCTATCAGTTCCCTCCCCCCATCTTCTTACCAAGCCCATGCAGGGAAAGGTCTTTGGTAGGAGTTTAGAGATTTTGGCTAGAAAAGCTACATTAAGTAATTCCCTTGCAATTGGTCTGTGACTGACCCCTTTCACAATAAAGTCAGCATTGGTTGGTAAAGTATTCCTGATGCTGCACTGATCTGACCATGTCTCTGACTCTTTCTTTTCATTTCTAAGTACACTGACTACAGTAGGCTTGGTTTGATAATCTCACCTCAAAATATGTAACCGATCAATAAAGTCCATCTTGCCATAGAAGATAACATATTCTGGATATTAGGACATTGACATCTTTGGATGTCATTATTTTGCCAACTATACTATTTGTGTTTAACTAAACTCTATGGAGTATGCCTAATAACAGACATTGATTGTTAATTCATTTGTAGTTTTAGAAGGTAAAACTATATTCAATGGTCAGAAATTACACGACAAGCAGGTTTCCACTCTTTAGTTAAAGAGAAAAAAAATTTTTTTATTCACTTAACATTATGCACATATAGAAACTAATTATAAAGAATTTGTACTCAGAAGTACAGTGGCTGGAACAAAGAGCATTCATATTTGAATATATATAGAAGTCGTGAAAAATTGTCCTCCAAAGTGATTGCGATTATAAGCCTATCAACAATAAATGCATGTTAAGTAGGGAAGAGATAGATTCTTTAACAAGATGGTGCTGGAAAAACTGAATATCTATTTGCAGAAGACTCAAACAGGACTGTGGGGCCCTGAATTATTTAATGTGGCTCTTGAAGCCACACTTTCTGTACCTCCCATCAAATGACCTTTTTCTACATGGGTCCGGGTAAAAAGATGGGGGAAGATGCTGATAGGACTCACCAGTGAGTAATTGTTAACAGCATTCATTGTAATTTCCATGCTGCTGGCTCATAAA